ATTGCATTTAAATAAATTTTACGGATTGAGTAGGAATCACAAAAACTTTTTAAATACTCTTTTTGTTATCAGTATTTCACACATTATATACAAATTGTAACAAAATATGCATTATACATGTTGTAAGTAAAATAAATATCTTTTCTATTGTTGCTTATTTTAAAGTTAACCCACTAACAAAATTTGATGTAAGTAAAATGGAACAAGGGCAACATTGTCGCAAAATACGTCCTTCACAAAAGCTTTTGTTAGGGATGTTGGCATTAAAGATATGCATATAGACGATATGCTCCAATATCCGGACAACATCTGAATTTTTTATCATCTCTAGTGACCTTGACTTTGCAAATATTAACCTAAATTACATGTGTCACACTTGTAGTCATGATAGTTATCATTTGTGTTGCAATCCATCAAGTAATGATAACTAAATGGTCCCCATACACGAATTCTCTATGTGAATTGACTTTGGAAGCAGGTACCTGGATTATATGCGCAATACTTAGCTTCACAATGGTAATTATGATAATGGCCATTTGTGTTTCAATCCCTCAATAAATGTCGACTAAATGATCCGAATACACATTTTCATCTCAACTTTAACCCGTATGTGTGACCTTGACCTTGGTCACAGGGACCTAAATTTTGCTTGCGACACTCAACCTTACAATGGTGAACATTTGTGCAAGTTATATTGAAATCCTGCTATGCATGTAGAATTTTTGCGTTTTTCAATGACCTCTAAATGTGAACTTGACCTTTGATCTAGAGACCTGGTTTATGTGCATGACACTGCTTCTTATAGTGGTGAACATTTTAATGAAGTTTCATTAGAATCTCTTCATATGTGTAGGTGATATGGTCTGGACAAACTCTCTTTATTTTATCACCTTTACTGACCTTGACCTTGCAGATATTTACCTCAATTACTTGTTTTACACACATAGTCAAGATAATGACCATTTATGTTCTAATCCCTCAATAAATAATGACTTAATGGTCCAAATACACATTTTCATATTTTTATCTGAACTTTTACTCATATGTGTGACCTTGACCTTGGCCGCGGGGACTTACATTTTGCACACGACACCTCGGCTCACCATAGTGAACATTTGTGCCCAGTTATATTAAAATCTCTCTAAGCTTGTAGAATTTTTGCTCCGGGCAAGCGTTTTTAAATGACCTCTACGTGTGACCTTGACCTTTGACCTAAAGACCTGGTTTATGTGTGCAACACTCTTTCATATAGAAATAAACATTTCCATGGATTTTCCTTTAATTTCCTCCTTGGGTGTAGAAGATATGCTCCGGACAAAATTTGGACGCCGACCGCCCAGCCGCCCGCCCGCCAAGGGGAAACTATAATACGACACGTTTTTAAACGGACGTATAAAAATTGTTTGATATTTGTTAAGAACACATTGAAGAAATAATCTACGATTTAGTAATTGCTTAATTTAAAGGCACATTATTCCTCTGAAATGGATTCATATTTCGTTTTTAGAAAGGGCAAATTTAAGTTTTACTTTTAGTAAATTATTTTCGAGCAAGTTAGTTGTTGATCACAAGAAGAAAGAAGTGTTGAATGTGAAATTCTTTGTTGAACAATAAATAAATAGCAAAACGTTAATAATCTAGTATTTTGAATTTCATACAACATACTTTATCACAACAATAGTACTCATTCCCAGAATGAACAAGATTTAAAAGAGGGTAAAGGTAACTATTAACTTTCTGGAAACAATCAACGGACACCTAAAACAAAAGGTTTTGAGAAATATAATAAAAAACATTTCTGGGGCGGCCATAATTGGCCTTTAACGATTAATTTAATTTACAAGTTTGTTATTACATGACAAATGATAACAAATCAATAATTAAAACATGAGCATAGTAAAAATAGCAACAGAAAAAGGGAAAGAGAATGAAATAAAATAAGAGAAAGGAAATCACTTAATTAACTACTATGAAAGCGAGAGGGCTTCGAACAGTTTCTTTAATTAGCGCAAAAATATTAAAATAATGAAGTTTTACAAATTAATGAAATGTTGTATTTTTTATTCATATGAAACCGTTATGCTGAGGCGTTGTATCCATCAGGCTTAAACTTTACGTAGCTCTAAAGTGTTTGCCAGTATGCTGATGACAAATTATTGCTCTAAAAATTATAATGCCCTCCACAGGGTATCTTCCTCTGCAATATTAACATTTTAGATGTTGTTGCTGTGGACGCCCTGGTCGGGGCTCATCTTCGATCTTCCATCAACTAAATGTTGCATATGGTAAAGTATGATCACGCATAGGGCCAATTACATTGGACTGTAATGCAAGACATAACAAGTTTAATGCGAAACATGTGTATAACAATTACACGTACATTAAAATATATATGAATTCCATTACAATAATTTGGAAAATAAATGAATTACATCGATTGTTCTATATATAGGAAAACTCACACTTTCAGAAAAATAGCAAAATTTGAGAAAAAAAAATCATAGACATTCAATGCATTCTAATAATGTATATAGTCAACATTTCACAATTTACTCGCAACATCAACATCATCAAATTGTTAGATGTATCACCATTTAGATGCATTTTTCGCCTCAAAAACCAGTCAACTTTTGTTCAATGTATATTACATTTTGTATACACATTCTGTAACAAGTAAAAAAAAAACAATACAACTTGCACAAATTTATTGAAATGAACATTTAAAAATAAACATAAGGCTATGATAGACATGGATCGCTCACCTAAAATTCATTACTAGAAAAGACCATACTTTATATTTTTAATTTAAAAGTAAGTAAAGTAGTCACATTTATCTAAGCTCTTGGCATTACAATTTCACACAAGAAGTCATACTTAAATGTGATTCACTGTATAAGTCTATATAAACTAAGTGGTCCAGGAGCAGGCTGATACAAGGGTCTTGCTTACTATAAATTTTGTAGAGGGCCACAAGATGATGCAACGTGCAAAACATCTAAATCCTTGGCATTTATCTTCAGACACGAACATTTGTTCAAAAATCTTACTATACATGTCTATATAAACTAAATTACCCTAGATTGTTGCCACTTGTGACCTCCGTGGCATAACTTATATAACTTTAGTAGATGTTCACTAGGCAATGCTACAAGCCAAATATCTAAGCTCTAGACATTGTAGTTCAATAAATTAAGACTTTAATGTTTTTGCATATACAGATCTATAAAAAAAACTAAATGACCCACGGAGCGGGTCAAATTTCTCAATGCATAATATCTAATTTCTTGGAATTGTCCTTTCAGAGAAGAAGATTTAAAGATAATTTACTATACTCGTAACATCTTAGCGTACATCCTAACCCAGGGTTGAGCCATTTTTATAGCACAGGGGCTCTTTGCATCGTATTTCTACAAAAGGAGACTTAAATGAAATTTCTTAAAGCGACCTCAGGCCAGGGCAAATTTTGACCATGGGCCGTGATTTATTAAGCTTCTGCAGAGGACCACAAGGTTATGCTCAATGTCTTATATCTTGAAATGTAGTTTCTGAAAAGAAGAGTTTGAAAGAGTTCACTTTTAAAGAGTATTTGTTAGCTCCTGTGACCTATTTATGTATCAGACTAAAGCAATTTACAATATTCGCAGAGGGCCGCCTACAAATCAATCTTATGAAATTGAGTCCAAATCCGTCAAATGGTTAGGGAGATGTTGTTTTAAGAAATCTTTGATGACGATGAACGACGGATACACTGACATCACAAAATCTCGCTTCTGAGCACTTTGTAAAATATTTACTTAACGGTCACTGGAAGATAAATTTACATAAAATATTTCATGTCTCGGTTACCGTTAGATTGTATTGAATATAAAAATAAAAGTATTTCGATTAAACAAATATTTCACTGTATTTAGGTTTCATGAGCGAGATTCGTGGAGGGGCAACAACACAAGGACAAAAATGAAGCATATTCCATGTTTATCCATTCCAAACTACAAAAGTTAGATTATTTCACCCGTATTCATCAAAATTGACTTTCATTATGATCCATATTTTATCATTACGAAATGTTTATAATCGTTCGCATCTAATAATAGATAAATACAGAATCCCTAAAGAAAGCCCAACACGAAAATATTGAAAATGTTGCAGGTTCGGTTTGATTGAGCCTGTTCATGGACGTTACTGTAAAGTGCAAGTTACCGTCCACGCCCCCTAGCACCGGCTTAAGCAGAATTCTAAGTCGTATTTGACAAAATACAAACTGTATATCATTGGACGACTTCAAAAGAGTATTTACACAAATACGCAGCTTATCTAGAATTCTTAATTCCATTTATTATTATGTTTAAAATGATCTTTATCATTGACCTACATAAAATACTTTAAACATATAAAACTGTTATATATGCAAAAAAGTCGGGTTTAAGTCGATTTGTGCAAAAGACTAGCAAAATTCTTTTTCAAAGTCATTCATGTCTCTTTTACACGGAATGATATCACAACCCTTTTTAAAGAAAATAAGATTATTACTTAAATTCACAAAATGTTCCATGGTGATATTTTAAGATCAACTACTGAAAGATTTTCTTTACTTTTGGTAATGTTTACTCGATTTCTTAAGTTTTAGAAATTAGCTATAAAGGGGCATATATCTGCTTTTCTACTGCGTGAACGACAGAACATTTTTATTGTCACATTTTCCGTTTTTGAAAGGTCTACATCGTCTTTGTATAAATTCTGTTCAATTGTAGCTCAGTTCCCTATCATACCTGGACTAATTGCTAGATAAGTGCAATAATACTGGCCGTCTGAATGTGTCTTGTTTTATAAATATAGAAGATCTACAACAGGAAATTATCATCAATTGTAGACTTTGTTAATGTTATATCTGCTCGCATCTCCGTTATATTATCATGAAGAAATAAAAAATACCCGGATAACCTGTGATGCCGAAGCCCAGATGGTTTGCTTTGCATTTTTCTTGGACATCGTTATTGTACCACCATTACACGGGACACAACTGTCAATTTAACTTAAATGAAATATATTTGTGAAAGATTGAATTTGAAGTTATTCTGACCCAGACATCTAATAAGCAATTGTAATTCATATTATTTGTGAGGCTTTGAACATCTGTCAAATTGTAGATATAATGTTTCCAGTTGAGGTGTTTTGTCCAAAATGAAGTCTATCATACTGTTTTGCTCAATTATCTTAGCAGAACAATATTCAGCTGGGATCTACTAAATCGGTTTTAGTTGTTTTGCAAGAAGGTTAAGACGAAGAATTGCCAAACATCGTTCGTCTTCTGCCATTTCACCACACATTTTCAAACATTTCCCTTTGTCCATAAATACAACGTTTGACTGTTTCTTGTAAGATTTCAGATACTTTTTTAATTCAGTTTTTGAGGTTTTTAACTCATTTGCTATGAAATCAAGCGAACATTCATCGATGCAAAACTTTTCCCGGTATGCATCAAGTAATTGACAGTTGGAGTTAAATTTCAAAGACCAAACGTAAAGGAAACCACTGAGACCTTTGAATCTATACTTGCACGATTCTTGGACTTTCTTTATTTGTCTTTGAACTTGTTCATGTAGTAAATCTTTGATGGCGTTTGCTTTGATGCTCAATAAACCTTTAAGTTCCTGATTGAAACCACTAAAGTCGTACAATTCTCTTTCGGCAGAGCTGACCAAGAAAACATTACTAATAAAATCTTGAAATCCCCCAAGACGAATGTTTTCTGATAAGTTTTTCCTTATTTTATTAAGGCATTCAGTTTCGTCGAATATGTCTGGACACGCTTGTTTTATGTTCGTTATGTCAATGTCAATTTTTGTTCGAACGAAAATAATATTTTTGCGAATGCTGCGCAATTCTTTTCCCAACCATATGTCATTTTCTTGGAATCGCCCAGCTGAAACAATTATAACCACGTCAAATCGAGGAAAATTCATTTCATCAAAATATTTCTCTTTTGTGAGCCATTGTGTTTCCACACAAGGTAGTTCCCATAAAGCGACCTTTGGATTTTCAGGATAGATGTATTTTATACATTTTGTTGTTGAGTCAAAAACACCAGAAGAAGACGCCCCTTCATTTGGAGGTTTTAACTGTCTCAGAGCATTGATGAGACTGGATTTTCCTACACCAGAATTGCCTGTCACAGCAACATTTAATTCCATGGAAGCCCACTTTTCAAATGAATCCTTGATGTATTTATTAAGGCCATGCAACACCCCCGCTTTTTCCATCTCTTCCTGCAGACAATCTTCGTCAATATATGAACGGAATTTCTATGAAAAAGTGTATAACGCGTGTTAAAAGCGTGCTTGAAAGGTCTATATAAAACACAGTCTGTATGAAAAGTATTATAAAATTATAATATCTTGGATGTGTATTATACAAGAAACATTTTATGCAGAAGAAAGGTGTCACAAAACTTGCTGTCGAATAACCTGCCAATTGAATTGGATATTTTTTCAGGCCATTTCAAGGATGGATAATTTTACATTAGTCCATCAAACATTACTTATACTGTTGCTTTTTTGTTTTGCAATGTTATCCTTGGGCCAAATACAAAATGTTATAAAATTGCATGAAATAGTTGCATTTATTTGTTTTTATACATTAATTTAAAATGTGTTTACAACAGACCATTTTCAAAAATTGACATAGTTGTAAGTAAGAAAGAAATAATTAACTCCAAATTGCTCTTTACCAATTCTTGGACATTTTGCAGAAATAAAAGAAATTTTCTTGGAGACTTTTCAGAAATTAACATTTGTCAGATTTTAAGGTTTCTAATCTGCATAATTCTACCTCTTCGTATCGCTTTATTTTGATTCTTGTTTATTTAAACTATAGATTAGTTTCATCTTACACTCTGAAGTCAAAAGAAGCAGTCGACAGTATTGTGAAGCTTTAACTTACGTCATATTTAAGACCTGACAAGGATCTATTTTCAATACGACCTGGAACTTCATTCATTTCGTCCATGTAGTTGTCTGTCGTTTCATCTTCAGATAAACAGTCGCTGAAGATAAAAAAGCAACAGTAAAAGTAATGTTTGTCGGACAAATGTAAAAAATATCCATCCTTGAAATGGCCTGAAAAAACACCCAAGATTATTCGACAGCAAGTTTTGTGACCCCTTTCTTCTGCATAAAAGGTTTCTTGTTTAATACAATATAAGAGCGTAGCTTATTGTCAAACTCTGCAGTCATATGGTCGTCACAATTCAGTATTTTCTTTAACCGATAAATGTTAGAATAAAAAAACCTTATTACATATATTATAACATAATTAAAATGATATATGGATATATACTGTATTCCTAGAAATGTTCGCGGATACAATATTTCGCATTTTTCACAACGTCGGCATTTTCGCGGAGATAAACTTTCGCGGATTTGTAGTGACCGCGAATTCCGCGAATATTAAGTCGCTACGGCCTAAGTTACATTTTTTGGAGGCTACGATTTTTGATGCATGACCAAGCGCTACATTACTCGATACCTTTTTATTTATTGACTAGTCGAACACGGACGGTTGTTCCGTGAACACTTTTACTTACTTCCTTGCCTTTTTCACTTAAGTAAGATATAGTCAGACCCGTTAACTTTTATTCTCATTTGAATCATAACTGACTTTATCTTCCAAATGTCGATGCGTATTATTTTACACAGTATCGGTCTGTACAACGCTTTCATTTTAACAACATACCAGCTGTTTATCATTGTAGCACTTGATCGCTATCGTACTTATAACAAAGGATTACACCTACTCCAAGCAAATAAAGTCCAAATCATTCAATGTATTCAAACTGTAAATGCTTTTGTTTACGCCATATCTAACGTCAATAAGCATGATAATTACTAATAATTAATATTTATTTTTCAGGATCAAAACAGATATCTATAACAAACATACATTCTTCTTTACACATTTCTATAGCACCTGTGTTTATATGCTTTTTTGTGTAAGTAGATTATAACAAATATTCTGCACATTTTATGTTTTTATTTTGTTGAAGCTAGAAAGGTTCGCGGTTTTGTTATAAGTGACATATTCGCGGCTATAAAGATTCGCGGTGTCATGCCTACCGCGAAAAGCGCTAACTTAAAACGCGCGAAATCTTTTCTAGGAATACAGTATTATGATGGTAATTACCCTTGTTTTAAATAAAATGTTTTTTATTTATATCAAATCTGTGTTGACAATTGTTTTGAAAATGGACCAAATATTGTTGTAATTGATAACTGATATTGCACTGATAATTAAATTACTTGCTTGTCTCATGTCATTAAGCATGTAAGTAATATAAACCTTATTGAATTCCCCTACGATTGCAATTGTTGGGTCTATAATAATATTCTGTTGTGGTGCAAGTAACAAAAATTCCAAATGTTCTTGTTTTCAAAGAGTAAAATGCATACTGTTTTATGTGACTTTTGAAGAAAAAAAAGATTATAATTTACCAAAAGATACACATCAGTTATTTCGTTTCATATTTGAATTGATACTTTCTTTTAGTATATTACATGAAATAATAATAAATATCTACACAAGTATACAAATGAACAAGAAATTATTGTAACACCATTTGATAAACTTTGATTAAAGCTACTTCGTTGGTAAATAAATAAAATTACATACCTTGATAGTGATACATTCATTTCGTGTACCGACTGCAACGTTTCCCTGAAAGACGTCCCGACTTGTTTCCGTTTCTTGACCGAACTCGTTTCTATCAATCTTGACAACCAAAATATAAAAAAAACAATAAGGACGAATGAAAAGGGCTTAATATGATTTATAAAGAAAAGAAAATGAGAGCGATACACAAAAGAATACACATGCAAAGTATGATAATTAGAGGCAAATTGATAACCCTTATTGAGTTGAAGGGTACATCATTAGATATACCTAAAGAAAAAAGGAAATGACCGAGAGCAGCAATAAGTTTATACAAAAATTAGTTACACGAAACCACTACTCTTCATTAACTATCACTTGATTGAAGAATTAAAATGGTATGTAATGTAAGATTTTGAATAACAGTTATGCCTTTTATTTCCGTTTATTGTTGATAATTATATTCATGTATTTTTACAATGCTTTTAACCACATTTAACTTCGACACCTGTTCAGCGCACTTTGCAGACACAAATGTTTATTACTACATGTACTAATATTGCACATATATTGTCAGACCAAAAAATGAATTGCTGTTCGATGGCGGGTAACAGTCAGGTAATATACGTATTATACAAATATTAATATTAGTTAAAACCTTAAATGTGTTAAATGTACGCTATTGATAGCAGCCTTAACATTAGCATTGACTTGATTATGATCAATATGGACATATCAAATGTCATTTTACTTTTCTTTACCACAAATTTGCATACAAATTAATTGAAAAAAAATTGAAAACGAAATAACTTTTTAATTATGTAGAAAAATAAGTTAATTTGATATATTAAAAAGAAATTACGTCCCCTTATGCCATAGCAGCATTTATACTCAACGTCATGAAATTCCAATCAATGAACCAAAATGACCAGCTTAATATAATAATCTGAAATTAACGGCATTACTTCAAGTTTGCCCCCAACTCACACAAACTAAAACAATATACTATTGATATTATTCGTTGAAATTTAAAACCAGCACTATTTTTTAAATATCAAGAGTAATGTAGTCATATTTGTCGCATATAAAGCAAATAAAACCAATTACTGTAAATAAATTTAATTGAGCAATTTCAAAATTAAAGCCAGACATTATATGACCTTTGACTTCCAAGTGACCTTGAATGTGAGAACGTTGGTCTTGCATGCAACCATACTTTACCCTTATTTTCGATTTCAAGGTCTCCACCAAATGTGAGATATTGCTTTAGTGTTGAACAATGTGTAAAACAAATCATCTTAAGTATTACGTAGATTAAATCTCAATCAAATATTTGTAAATCATTATATAGGAAATCGTTTTTCATCTTATAAAAACAAACATAGGATATGAAACTCACTTTTCACGCGCTGTCAACGTTGAACATTCATCTGTTTCTTTCGATTGTTTCTCATTCTTTTTCTCAACCTTTCCATTTTGTTTATTAGATGGAATTTGTGCTAAAAACTGTTCGATAGATAGAAAAACAGCAGCAATTATAACAGCAAGGAAAACAAAAACAAAAATCCACCATAAATTCTCCATTACTTCATTCCTGTTGTAACACGCCACAAAGATAATGACGATCGGCGAAGATAAAACTATATATAAAATTATATTGACAGTATTGATATTACGTGCATGATCACCCGTTGTTTATTATTAACACGGTGAAACAGGTATTTCAATGATAAGTAGAAAGCGTATTGATCATTGTAAAAAAAGATTTAGAGGAATGATTTCATAACTAATATTAAAATACAGTCAACATTGTATAACGAAATTTAATGTATAAAGCACAGTAAAATGAACCTTTTGTACTTTTTGAATGAAAACTATTCAATTTTCTGTATGTACATGTTAATTTTAAATCTTTTATTTCATGCTACTGGTTTTATTTAAAAACAGTGTTTGTCATACCATAAATTTTATAAACATGTTCTATATATTGTATCTGATATTATATCTGCAATTGTTTATGTTAAGTTATCAATATTTGGTTTTATTTTGTTTAAATCTGACAGACGAAAGGAAATTAGCCAACGATAAAGCATGATCGATAAAAAAAATATCTGGCCAAATTACCTAAAAATCAATCGGGTCACGATCAATCCTTACACTAAAATAAAGAACTGTAGGCTAAAACCTACAATTAGGAGTGGTTGGAAAAGCTTACAGATCCTGTTTGTTGTATTTCAGGTTGATACCACACTTAAAGGGTCTCAAATGAGTTTTTGTGACGTGTTGGGACTGAAAATATTTTTCCAGATAAAAATGTACCATTTGATGTAGGTTTAGACCATTAATCTTAGTGCAAAATTTTAGATCATTCTTCCAGAATAATAATTGAAATTGTAAAATATGACCCAAAGTGGAAAGCGTTTATTATAAAATAAATAAATAAAATAAAAATAAAAGCATAAAAATACAATTTATTTTAAAGTATATTGCTTATGTATTTTTGCATATTTTTCTGTTTAATGTGCCCCAGCTCATTTATGTAAGAAATTCAAATGCTATGTTTTTAGGCTTTTAAACCTCAGTAGAGTCCCTTTAAGTGAAATTTTATATATGTATATAATTATGCTTCTAAAACAATTTTCAAACATCTAAGAATATGTAAAATATGTACTGCAAACATTTGTCCACACTATATGTAATCATTATAATATATGCATTCATTTCTCATTGAATAAATTGTCTTAGACATTATAGAAAATAAATTCCTTATTACCTCTTTTAATTAAAATGAAAATTAAAATTCGGCAATATCTTTACAAATAATGCTTTTTTGGAACTTACAATCCTAATTTGAGCAATATAATTTTGATATAAAACCATAAAATAATTGAGTAACAGGATCTTTAACAGGTCAAGACAATGATGTAATTAACCATTAACCTTAGGTGAGTATGTACTTGTCACGGACAATGACGCTATCAAGTAACCTAAATCATTTCTCGTTTCAGATATGATATGAAAAACAAGATCAAGGAAGGGAGACATTCAATGAACGCATCCTCCAACAGAGGACTACCGGCAGGGAATCTAGCAGGATAGACCGAATAACCATTGTATGTCCGTTGTGTCTATTTTAGTCATATGTGGCAACGCGATAACCGAGTAGCGTACGTAGATTTAGAACTCAATAATAAACTTTAAACTTACTACTAGAAACATTCAATAAAATATGTTATCAAAATTATGTAAATATGTCCTTACATATATCTAAGGTAATATTTATCTATCGTAAAACATAAAGAATTGCACATGAAAGAAGGTAACAACCGAGAAATAACATAAGAAAATCACAATATGTCACTCTGTGTTTTTTGCAGATATTTGAATCCATGAATAAGGGTGTATAAATTAAAGATCCTTGCATCAGATATTATTAAATCAGTTTATATAAAGGCCGTATTGTAAATATCTCCCGAGGAGAAGTAGTTATGTTACGTTTAAAAGAAAAATGTTTTTGCATATTGTAAGTGACAATGTTGAATAGCCTATTTAAAGGTAGAACGTTTACAAAATGTGGTCCTATTGAATAGAAAAATGCAAATAAAACATACGATATATTGCGTGCACAAAATTGTGATAAATTATAATATGTTGTGATTGAGATTCCTAAATCAGTACAATGAGGTTGTAATCAGATTATTTCAGTTGTATATTTCTTGCTTACATAAGTTTTGAAAAATTAAATCATTATTAATATTCTGTATCAAGCAAATTCATAGCTAGCTCAGAAAAAAAATTAATGCAAAAACAAACACCCCTTTAACTATACTTTTATCACTTATTGACATTAACTCAATATTTCAATTTTATATACGTATTTTTCATTACGGCAAATAAAAAAATATGACAAATATTACCTTATGTAAATGAAATTTAATTAGATTAAATATAAACAATAAAATATGAATTCATATACGTGTTGTGGATCTCTACACAAACTGTATTTTCAATTCAACAATTTTTTCTACGGGTTTACAAAGTTTATTATCAATGGATGGAAAATGGATAGAAATATTCAATGTAACCATGTTTATTTCAGATATGAAAATATTTGTAAGGTAAATAATGTAAACAAATTGCTCTACATCAAAACTTTTCCGTGCGACTCAAATTTTAGTAAAACCACAGTCAAAATCGTTTGTTTACAAAGCACTTTATTTGAGAGATCAATATACATTAATAATGAAGAACCTCCGTTTGGTTAGCACACGTGTCCCTTGGCTAGGGATAAATATCATGGCACACTAGGGATAAATATCATGGCACACTAGAGTAAATATAGCAATGAGTATCACTTTAGGATGTAGATAAAAACGTGATTGACACAATAACTGACTAAGCTACGGAAACAAATCAGTTCTAAAATACTGGATTGATTCTCGTTGGTGCAACAGACGAAATTTTCTCAAGATCTTAAAGGTCATTATTATCAGTATCATTATATCATGAATTCAAACCGAGTCTGCATCATTTTAATGTTGTCGTTTTCTTCTTTTTTATTTAAAATTAAGCAAGTACAGACATATTTATAAAACTGTATTTACAACTATGTCAACTCTCAGTCTCATACAAATGTTAGTAGACAATAGAATGATAATGAACTTGCATATTTAGTTCATTTGAAAAGCTAACACAAGCATACATTTAAAAGACAAAAAGAAGACAACAGAATAAGAATTTAAAATGCATATTTCGCCTTACGACAACAAATGGCAAGGGGGATTCCTTTAAACATTCATTTAAACGTTTCACCACAGTTTGCGTGAAAATTAATAAGACATACATTTGAGGAACACATAGTGTTTTTTAAAAGTAAGCTGCATTTATAAGATCAAAAAAAAGGAAGTGCGATACTCATTTAACGCATCCCCAAACACAACCGTCAAGGAGCTCAGCAAGACACCAAACAAGACAGGCAACACGGGCAAACCACAAACGAGATGCCACAACAAACAACTTCTAAATTGGTTAATGGTGCATCAAATAGATAAATACAGAATACAGAAACCTCACTCTTAACCCCAACATGTTCCTTTTTAACGGAACGGTGTAAATACAATGAATACCCGTCAACAAAATTCTAACTGTTGTTATGGTTACAAAGGGTAAAAAGTAAAAATGATCATGTAGATAATACAAAAAATACCATATCAAAAAGATTCTGTGTCCTAAATTGAGAAATGTAAAATTTAGATTTTAAGTCCAAAATTAAGATTATTCAGTGCCAGTGGTTTTTAAGAGCTGTTCATCATATAGTCTCCCGTTCGGTCCGTCAGATGTAATCAAACAGGAAAGCTTAGTGTCCAACTGTAAATGGGTTTGACAGGTAACATGCCATGTGTGTTGAAATAGAAGGGACATAACCTTTTTAATAAAACGTTTAATAACTTTGAACAATTGCTGTGAAAATAAAGAAAATTACTGCGACCCAAATAAAATAGATGAATACAGAATCCCTAAAGAAAGCCCAACACGGCAAAATTGAAAATGTCGCAGGCTCGGTTTGATTGAGCCTGTTCGGAAAGTGCATGTTATCGTCCACGCCCCGAGCACCGGCTTGAGCAGAATTCAACATTTAAACATGAAAATGGTGAAATTTTTAATTTAGAAACATCCGCAGATGTGTTCATACGGCGGTTATCATGGAACCTTCAATGCGACACTTCCGTGCCATTCCATGAAAAGCGGCATATGGTCCCCAAGTAATAAAAAGCGTGTGCCCTAAACGACAAAACAATGGGCGGAACTAAATAAAATGGCATTTTGAAAGGGGATCAGAGGTTATGAAGCCTGCGTATCACAGATAAGACGTCAAAAGACAAATTTAAAAAGCAGGCAACATATTCTAAGGGTGATTCAACATTATTCAAGTAGGAATATTGGAACCACCCAACTAGAAAATGCCGAAAAGTTGAAACTAAAAATACCACAAGCACAACAATAATGTCGTGCTGAACGATCTTTAAGGATCGAAAATATAACATCATTGATTAAATGTACGGGGAGACTTTTTACAGCCGCCACACGGCACAAATTACACGGATGTGATCATAAAATAGATAAATACAGAATCCCTAAAGAAAGCCCAACACGGCAAAATTTAAAATGTTGCAGGCTCGGTTTGATTGAGCCTGTTCATGGACGGTACTGGAAAGTGCAAGTTACCGTCCACGCCCTCTAGCACCGGCTTAAGCAGAATTCAACATTTAAACATGAAATAGTAAAATTTTGAATTTAGAAACATCCGCAGATGCGGTCATACGGCGGTTATCATGGAACCTTAAATGCGACACTTCCGTGCCATTCCATGAAAAGCGGCGTATGGTCCCCAAGTAATAAAAACCTCACAAAGCTTGTAGATTTCATCTCAGTAGAAATTAGGTTTGCTTATCCTCACTCGCAGAAGATTTTTTAAAATTCTATGATTGGATTTTGAAATTTTAGATATTATCGTTATTTATGGAAGCGATAGGTATGTTTGAGAAACTTGCTAGTAATGAAAATATTCTGTTCGTTAAAATTGTTTCAAAGTCGGTCGAATCTGATAATCAGAGATACATATACCACATACAA